TCCTCAGAAACCCTATACAGCGTCACAATGGGTTGGAACTGACTCAACAGCACTTAACAACAACAACATTCTATCTTTTTTTTTTTTTTTTTTTGATTAAAAGCTATAGTTTCATTAGAAGCCCTCACCCATTCCCATCCCTTCTCTTCCTACCTGAAGGAGAAATTGGCTTGAGTCTTTTCTGGCTCTATGTGCCTTCCATGTAATGAATGAATTAATCAGGAATTGTTTTGGGTGTTTCTTAGGGTTCATGAACCATCTCATCTGCTGACAGCAGTCTTTCCATTCAACATTATTTTCCAGATTTATTTAGGTTGATTCATGTCGATGTATCTGATTCATTGTAACAGTGGTAGAGGTGTCCATTGTAAAACTCTACCTAGATGGGTTCATTCTATTATTTAGTTTTCATTTCTTACCTTTGTAAGAGGACTCCTGGTGTGGCGCTGTAGGATAAGCACTCGACCTCAAGGTCGGCTTGAACTGCAAGGTTGGTGATTCAAACTCACCAACTGCTCCTGGGAAACCCTACAAAGGGTCACCATGAGTTGGAACCAACTCAAGGGCATGTAACAACAACCACTACCACCACCTTGTAAGTGATGCTGTGTACCATATGTCTTCCACGCGTCTCCAAGTGTACCAGCACACATAGATACTTACAGTATGTTGTTGTGTTGTTGTCGGGTGCCATCGAGTCGGAACCGACTCATAGCGACCCCATGCACAGCAGAATGAAACAATGTCCGATCCTGGGCCAACCTCACTACCGCTGCCACACTTGAGTCCATCAATGATGTCACCTGGCCAATCCATCTCGTTAGGGGTCTTCCTCTTTTTCTCTGACCCTCCACCTTACCCAGCATGACATCCTTCTCCAGCGACTGTTTCCTCCGGACAATAGGTCCAAAACTTAGAGTATACACATGCCAAATTCCCAGACTCAAGGTTATGGGTATCTACAACTTGCTATTAGTCTATGGACAAGCTGCTCTCCAAAGTGTTTGGTTGCAGCATTTTTGCTTATACCAGCAAAGTATGTTGTTGTTGTTAAGTACCATTCAGTCGGTTCTGACCCATAGTGACCCTGTATAGGGTTTCCAAGGAGCAGCTCACCCTGCAGTTGAAAGCGACTTTGCAGTCCAGTGCATTAGCCCACAGTGCCACACCAGCAAAATATGGGAGGCACCAATTCCCACTTCCTCATTTCCTCTTCATACTTGTTGTTGTTGTTAAGGCTGTCAAGTCAGTTTTAACTCATGGAGCAGCTGGGGGCTTGAACTGCCAACTTTACAGTTAGCAATTCGATGCTTATCTTATAATGCCACACCAGGACCCCATCCTTCATATATTACTGGACTTCATGTTTTGTGTCCATATGATAGATACATATCTCATTGTTTCATTTTGCAAAATTTCTCATGTATTCTGTGCATCAGAAAAAAAAGCTACCAGGAGAAATAAATCTTAAATAAGTATACATCTCACAGGAAAGAAAAACAAAATAAAAATCCGAACTCAGTAGTTCCCATCACAGACTTACTCACCGAATTTCAGCTTTATACTCATGAATAGCCTTCTGGGTTGTATCAAGAGACCTGTGAGGTTGTTCTGGGTGAAGGCCTGTTTGAACAGCATTTCTCAGGGCTTGGAGCTTTGAAGGATATAGAAACAAGTTAGAACTCTACCCTGTACTGCAAATAAAGTGAGTGCATTCATTTCTTACCCACCTAAAATGACCCTCGGCAGACATATTTTTTTCCATTCATAAACAAAATTGGGAAAATATAGAAACATATTTATGTCCATCTTTATTCTGAGGTTCAGAAAAGCAAGCTGTTCAAGACAGGTATGCCTTTGATGTTTCTGCTTCATAAGTAAGTTTTCTTTAAAGGTAAAGGGATCTTCTGGTATCCTGGAAACACCAGGATATTCTTGTGATGCACAGACACTGTCAAAATCGAGACATCAAAAAAGGAGCTCTGGTACAGCTACACCTTATTTGGGTTGTTGTTGTTGTTAAGCGTCGTTGAGTCGATTCTGATCCATAGCGACCCTGTATAGGGTTTCCAAGGAGCAGCTGGTGAGCTTCAACCACTGACTTTGCAGTTCAAATGACTTTGTAGTCTGACGCATTAGCCCACAGCGCCTGTAGTAAGGCATTAAAGCCAGTGCATGGGGCTAAAATAGCCTGTGGTCATATTATTCCTGACAATTCCATGGGCTAGTGTCACATTTGCGTGGTAAAGTGGAGGGCTGGCAAAAAACAGGAAGACTCCCCAACGACATGGGTGGGCAAAGTGGCAGCGGAATGAGCTCAAGTGTAGCAATGATTGTGAGGTCTCCAAAGGACCATGCAGTCTCATTCTGTTGTGCACAGGGTCGCTAGGAGTCGAGACCGCACCTAACAACAAATGTCATATTTGAAATAAATCCAATATGAATGCTTATTTCTTTGCAATGACTTGTGTTTAGGATGACACTATAGGAAACTATGGAGTCCTGGTGTGGCACTGTGGGCTAATGCGTCAGATTGCAAAGCCAGTTGAACTGCAAGGTAGGTGGTTCAAGCTCACCAGCTGCTCCTCAGAAACCCTACACAGGGTCGCTATGGGTCAGAACGGACTCGACGGCACTTAACAACAACAACATAGGAAACTACATGTTAAAATGAGAATGTCTCTCGGCATGGAGATTCTCAAACCCCAAATTGCGTCCAGGATCTGCCATTGTTGCTACACCACCAATCTCACGTCTTCCCTCTCAGACCCAGTTAGGGATGGGTGAAGTCTCTGCACTGTTTTCACCAATCTCCCCCTTTGACTCAAGTATGTCCCAATGAATTTCCCCGTGCTCAATGCTCACTAGCTATATTCTTCCTTTTGTGGCTAGGTGGGACAATGCGTCACACATCCTAGATAGAGGGCACTTGTGAAAACAGGGGATGGGCTTTCTGCGGCAGGATTGTGTTTGTCTGGGCTCCTGAGACGAATCAACCCACCAGTAATAAAGGCAGAAGAGCATACGTGTACCTTATCGTTAAGAAATTTTGCCTTGTTCCTCTGACGTCTTGCAAGGTACTGGTCATATAGTTGAGCCAGCTTAGATGCCAAAACATGCTCTCGGCTGAAGCAGGGATGGTGGGTGAATATTAACCCTGAGATATCAATGTCCAGTTGGAAAATGCCAGGAGCCTCCCCAGCTCCAATCATATGCTGACTACAAGTGACATAGTTTACAGCCTGTCAAAAAGAGCAGAGAGAGTAGGAACACCATGAAAGCACGTACTTACTCATGTTCTTTGGGTTGAGACCGACTCAATGGCATTTGACAACAACCGCCTGCAATGGGGAAACAGTCAGATACAAAGACCCTCCCACCCATCCGGTCAGACCTGGTGGAAGGACGTGGCTGTTTTCTGAACATTTGAAAACTGAAAAGAGACGAAAGGTGAGAAGGCCATTCAGTTGACTCTTGCGTTCCCATGCCTTTGTATCTGAGGTCATGGTCCCAATCTTTGCCATTGTAGGCTGCTTTTGAAATCTTGGGTTTTGCAGTTGATGACATTGGGGTTCTTTTAATGAAAGAAGCACAGCTTTTAGTCCAAACTGATGATTTTTTGGACCATAGATAGATCCCAATGTAACTATAATTTTAAAACACGTGGAGAGATTTCTGTTTTGCTGGCAGCAGAAAGAGACCATCTTTTACTCAACTGCATCTCCTGTTGGCATTTAGTTTTCCTGGGAAGGAATGAAATTAGCATAAAAATACAGGAGAGGGAGGAGGAACTGGTGAACCAACTGTGTGTGCAAAGGGGAATTTCCAGTGGGAATTTGTTGGATTCGTTGGTGTGCAATCTGTCAAATAAGCTTCTTTCTCTTCCTCTGTTCCCTCCCTTCCATAAAATGTTCCGGATACTCCACACACACCCTCATTTACTAGTAAATCTGTTGTTGTGTTGTACCTGTGGCCTGCCTCTAGCTGGTATTCACAGGTATGAACTGATGAACGCATTTCTTTGGAACCATTCAATTTCATACTTTGTTTTCCCGGATTTGTTGTTGTTGCTAGGTGCCATGCAGTTGGTTCCAACTCAGCAACCCTCTGCACAACAGATAAAAACACTGCTTGAAGCGACATCAGTGATGGAGGCAGAGATGGGGACATGGAGAGAGGGAGCAGCTGAGGACTCTAGATTCATGGAAAGAGAGGGACTGAGAGCTGGTGGCCAGGAGGCAGTCTTGCAGGTGTCCTTTGGTGGTGTAAATTATTATATGTGCCTGAGTGTTTCAAAACAAAAGAGCTAAAATGAATGGAGAGAAATACTGTTAACTGATGGTACATGGAAGGGATTATAATCAGTGTAATGAAACAAGGTATATGATTTGTTGAATGTAAAACTAATGATCTATCCAGTAAACTTTCACTCAATCCAATAAAAACTTAAAAAAAAAAAGTAAGAAAAGCAAAAACACTGCTTGGTTCTGTTCCAGCCTCACAAATGTTGTCACGTTTGAGCCTCATGTTGCCACTGCAGTATTAATCCATCTCATTGGGGGTCTTCCTCTTTTCCGCTGACTCTCTACTTTGCCAAGCATGATGTCCTTTTCTAGGGACTGGTCCCTCCTGAAAGATCTCTGAAGTGTGAGAGTAGAAGTCTGGCCATCTTCACTTCCAAAAAGCACTCTGGCTTCACTCTTCCAAGACAGATTTGTTGGTTCTTCTGGCAGTCCATGCTATATTCGATATTCCTTGCCAACACCCATAGTTCAAATACTCTTCTCTGGTCTTTATTCATAGTCTAGCTTTAGCATGCATATGAGTCCATTGAAAATAGCATAACTTGCTTGGGTCAGGCACACTTTAGTCCTCAAAGCAAAATTTTTACTTTCTAACACTTTATAAAGGTCTTTTGCAGAGACTTGTCTAATGAAATATGTCGTTTCCAGGATTAAAAGACAATTAATGCATTTGTTGTTATTAGGTGCCATTAAGTTGGTACCTATTCACAGTGACCTTGTGCACAACAGAGCAAAACACTGCCCAGTCCTGTGCCAACCTCACAATCATTGCTACCCTTTAGCCCGTTGCTGCTGCCACTCCATCTCAGCGAGGGTCTTCCTCTGTTTTGTTGACCCTCCACTTTACCAAGCATGGTGTCCTTCTCCAGGGACTGGCCCCTCCTGAAGATATGTCCAAAGTATGAGTGACAAAGTCTGGCCATCCTGGCTTCTAAGGGGCATACTACCTGTACTTCTTCCAACACAGACTTGTTTGTTCTTTTAACAGTCCATGGTTAATATTCTCCTCCTACATTATAACTCAAATGCACCAATTCTTCTATGGTCTTCTTTAGTCATTGTCCATGTGTATGAGGTTATTGAAAATATCATGGCTTGGGTCAGGTGCACCTTAGTTCTCAAACTGACATCTTTGCTCTTGAAAACTTGAAAGACGTCTTGTGCAGCAGATTTGCCTCATGTATTAGGACTTTTGATTTCCAATATAGTGTGTACTACATTTATATCAACAAAACAACACATTTCATCTTACAAAATAATAACATTCAATCTATCTTTGAAGTAAAGACTTGCAGATTTTTTCTTTTCCTTTTTTAAAATGTCCTTATAAAATTAGGATGTGTTCATAAATAAGGCAGACTTGAATAGGAATGGACTCATAATATCTTGTTAAAATTAACTTTTTTGTGTGAATTGTGTGTAGTTCATGCACATTTTATTTCATGCCAGTGACTGCAGTTTCCACAATTCAACATCACTTTTCCACTTTCTCCCTGTGTTTCCTGTTTCCATTCCTTCTTCTTTCCTAACCCTTCCTAACATACTCCCCAGTGTTACTGTTCCCCTTACAGACCTGTCTATTGGTTGGCTGAAATCCTACTTTGATGAGGTCTTAAAAGTTTGTCAACTTTTAAGGTGCAACTCTCCCTGTCTGGAGGAAAGCTGAGTGTTGAAAATAGAAGGCATATGGACTTAATTAGTCTATTAATCCAATGGGCTAATGGCACACGTGAAACCAGCCTGCACAATCCTGAGACCAGACTGATACTATCTTGGAAACTATAGAACTATGCTAAACCGAATCTCCACTTGCATTTAGAGGGAGGAAAGACCACTATGTCTCATATTTCATTGATAATTTGTATTTTATGCAAGTCCTACATTGCTTTGTAGAGATTATTGTTGCTGTTGTTAAGTGTTGTAGAGTTGGTTCTGACCCATAGCAACCCTGTATAGTGTTTCCAAGGAGCGGCTGGTGAGCTTGAACTGCCAACTTGTGGATCAAACTGACTTTGCTGTCCAGTACACTAACCCACAGAGCCACACCAGGACTCCTAGTAGACATTAGTTCTGATTATTAATTGCTTTACACTTCAGATTAGAACAATGAAGGCTCATTTCTTTTCTCTTTGATTTGGGTAAAAGAGCTTAGCTATTTTTAGTGTTGTTTTTAGTTTACTCATTTTGGTGTTAGAGGTTTTTAAACTACATGTGGTCACTCTGGGCCCCCTGAATCACACAGATTACCTGGATTCATTAAAAAATCTTCCACTTCAAAAAGATATCTACAACTAAAGATCAATCCATAGACTTTACAGAACATTCCTCCTTGGTTGCTTTTTTTGTTTTTCCTTTAACTTTTTTTTTTAATGTTTTATCATGAATTATGTGATAGTTTACATGGGGGATCATTAGCTTTACATTCATCCTATTGTATATTGTTTCACTGCCATGGTTACAATCCCCTCCATGCATCATCAACCACCTCCTTGGTTGCTTTCCCCCTGCTAGTTCTTGCCTCGCTTTTCCACTCACCACCTGACTCTGGCTCTCAAGTTATGTCATCATTCAGGGTGTGGAGCTCAGGCCCCATCTCGAACTCTTCTAAATATGAGGAAGTAACATTGCTGGCATGACCCTCTTTGTAATGTAGCCCAGGGCACCTGTACTTTGCAGTTTCTTCTCAGATCTGTATTGGCTCATGTTCCAAAAATTGCTGGTGGTGTCTGCCCCAAGTTGTGCTCAACCAAGTATAAAAGGACTTCCAGCACTCCTGAGTATCCTTGAACCTTAATTGTGCTCATGAGGAATCTGTACCTGGACAAAGAGGCAGTTGTTCCCAGAACATGGGAACACTGAATGGTTTAAAATTGAGAGAG